TTTATTCCCCCAACAGTCAGAATACAAATTCGCAGCACTAGTGGTATATACACCAACAACAACAAAAAAAAACACCCAACAACTGAGAACATAAAAGTACAGGTAGGTCGCTTATCCCTCTATTCACCGGGCGTAGTAATTCCAGCCAATCAATAGCACCTGCTTTCATCGACCCAACGGCTCTCACCACTCCGGGACAAGTAGCCTCGGCCGGGCCTTGTCAGAAACTCTGTACGCACGAGCCCTTAAGCCAGGAAGGATGATGTAAGGTGTTCTGTTAAAGAGTGTACATGTCATGCAGATGAATCGATACCATTTACATGTCACACAGGGGACATCGATATCACTTACATGTCACACAGAGGACATCGATACCTTAACTCACTTGAGGACGCGGAGTCTGGTCATTCGACTCGCTTTTAGTTATACAGTTTTAGTGAGTATTAGGGCGCTTGCAATAGAATGAGGTCATATATAACATGTGCCGAAGACTATAGAGGTGTTACAAGAGAGTGACAGACACAAAAAAGAAGGATAGATAAGGACGATAGATGTTTGACAGAAGAGAAGGAACAAACCATACCAGAGCACCCGCCAAACACTCATAGATTATGTAAGGGAGTTCTGATAAGAGCGTCCATGTCACGGAGAGGACACGGATAACTTCACATGTCACAGAGAAGACATCGATACCTTAATTCGTGGAGGACAGGCAGTCTGGACATTCAAATCGCTGTTAGAGACCACTTCTAACGAGAAACATAACTTCTTTAACAATACAATTTTTTTTTAAAAAATATTTGCACCTGGAAAGAAATAGCTGAGGACAGGAAAACATTGAAGAGAATGATATAAAGGTACGAACTATTGTGCTTAAAGAGCAGCCTCAGAAACAACCAGGCTGAGACTGAGAAGCGCCAACAAACGACGAAAGGAAAAAAGCGGCAATACAGAGCTTCCATCCACCTCATTGACATGCAAGCATTGTGCCAGAATCTGTGCTGCAAACATAGGAAAAATTAACCATGAAAGAAGTTGCATGAAGACAACCGTGCGACCATCTTAAGCTAAATTGACCGTCCGCATTATAGACGAAAAGAGCCATACATTCGCCTAAAACGATAATAAAAGGAAGACAACGTAACAAGACGCATACTATGAAATACGCATTGACTTGCGTTTCTGATTTTTGCGTATAATTAATGGTGCAAAATGTGTCGCAACACCGCCTTTTTGATCTTCTCAAAGGACATATTACAATGTTATACGTCCGCTACGTCCTCAAAGATTTAATTGAGCGCAGCAGTTCACGGGAGAATGACATCATCATTCATAGCATCAGCCACCGGCTCTCTGAGACAGGTAATAGGAACGAGGGTGGGATGGGGTGGGGGTGATATGAACGGAATAGTAAGCCAATAATTCATTTCGTTTTGTTTTTTGTTTGTTTGGGGTTGAGGGTTGGTTGGTTTGTTTTGTTTTGGTTTTGTTGTTGTTGTTTTGTTTTTTTTGGGTTTTTTTGCTGTTTTTGTTTTTTGTATGTTTGGGATTGTGGGTTGGTTGTTTGGCTTTTTTTTTCTTTTTTTTTTTTTTTTTTGCTGCTTTTGCATTTTGTTGGGGGTTTTTATTGAAAAGTTAAGGCACTTGCAACGCAACTCGGTCATTGTATACGTTCCGAAGATAAGAGAGGTGTTACCAGAGTGTGAAATGTGAACAAAAGAAGGAGGAAAGATAAGGATGATATATGTCTGATAAGAAAGAAGGAGCAAACTACACCAAAGTACCCGCCGACAGTGATGGTTGAAACCTGCTGAGCAACCAGTATTTGTTTGTGTATGGGGGTGTTTGGGAGGGGAGGTATAGAAATCAGAAACAGTCAGCATGACTGCGGGACAGTCCCGGGGACAGACGGACTGGGAGAAAAGTGGACGAATATTCACACACACACCCACACCCACACCCACACCCACACCCAGAAAAAAAGAGAGAGAGAGAGAGAGAGAGAGAGAGAGAGAGAGAGAGAGAGAGAGTTTTAGTAAGAGATTTACAGCACTTGCAACACAATAGGGTCATATAGATCTAAGTGCCGAAGATTACAGGTATTACAAGAGAGTAACAAACATAAAAAAGAAGGAGGGAGATAGACACGATAGATTTTTTTATAGGAAAGAAGGAGCAAACCACACCAGAGCACCCACCAACCACCCACAGTGAGAGAGAGACAGACAGACAGACATTACATACAGACAGACAGTCAGACTGAAAGACAGACAGACAGGGGGGGGGGGGGGTTACAACAAAGATATCACCCACATTACGTCAGCTTCATGAATGTCATGACCTCACAGCCCTACCACTAATCAAAAATTGAAAAAGATCGAAACAAAGCAGCCAATATTGAGTCCACGAGAAATATCTGAACAAATACTCTAATCTTTGGAATGTACTTTATCATCTTATTGGAAAGGACGAAGAAAAGTTCAATACATCACGCAAGAAATAAGAATACCAGCCAATAAGATTTTCCTTTCCATACCCCAACGAAAACCAATTAGAACATCATCAATAAATTTAATATTCTGCACACGGTTGAGTTTCCATATATATTTTTGGGGGAGGAAAAGTCTCTTTTGTCACTTTACAGAAGACTTCTGACGTTGCACAATGATATCCATCAAAGTAATCACGTCCTTTTTCTCAGCGAATCGAAACTTCTGCCGTGAAAAACAAAAGATAAACAACACACTCTCGATGAAACAAAAGAAATGCAGGCAAAAAAGAAAACGCTTTATGGAATATTCTGAAAGAAGACTGAGAGGGCATTTTTCAGGAAAAGATATCAAGCCGCACAAATAAACTAACGCCGCCCGCATTAACACTGCTCCATTGAAGCACAAATGCTGACGACACTAAAACATGAAATGAAAATAAATATGCCGACACGCGCACACACACATACACACACACACAAAAAGGCAGACACAGCATATTAAAAACATCCCCCTGTCTTAGACAACCACTTTTTTCCTCGACAATGGATGGCTATTTATCTTGAACAATTTCAACTTCAGTTGACATTCCATTCAGCAACAGACATAACAAACACTAAAACACGACACACTTCGACTGCTCAGTGTAAGTAAGACTCCATTATAATACTTTACTTTTCAAAAATGGCGTATGGCCGAATCTTCCACTAAGCAGAGGACTCGTAATTGTGAGATTGCGGGTTCGGGGGTTCGAGCCTCAGCTCCGTTCGACGCTGTGTCCTTGGGAAAGGCACTTAACACAAATTTCCCACTTGGCTCTGTCCTTTTGGAGATGGACGTTAAACTCGGAGGTCCTACCTCTTAAATAACCTTTTAACAGTGTTGATAGTGGCGTTAAACCTAAACCATATTTTCACCATTAACACTTTGCCACCTCATCTCGCCGACTGGAATGTTTACCACCCAGTTTCTTTGGATTTTCCCCAGAATGAGGTTGAGGTGGCAAACTGTTAAGCATTTGACTTCCTCTCCCCCTCTTACCTTGGTGCAGAAGGGGCATGTGGTCTTGCTGAAGACGACCACAGCGTTGCTGGCAATCAGCTGCTGCACCTCCGGCTTCACGTCGTCCCCGATGGGCGGCATGGCTGACGTGCTGTGGAACTTTCTGGGACTCTTGCTGGGTCCTGCCTGGGCTCCTCCGGACAAATACGAAAGCCCGGAGCCGAGACTGAGCTTGGGTTTGTGGGGAGAGACCGCCGCCGCTGCTGTCGAAAGAGCACGGGGGTTCTGGGAAGACGTTCTAGTCGGACTGCTGCTGCCTGTGTTTGTTGGCGCTGGTCTTCCGAAGCTAACTTTTCTACTGCTGGGACCTACCGCATCCAACTGGAAGAGATCAAAATTATAACGTATTTATAAGCCATATAACAACAAAAATGACCGACTTCAGTTTGATTTTCATTGTTACAGCTCAACTCAAGTAGGCTAATTTAGAAGATAGACCTCTGTACCAAGGTTTATCTCCCATTCCACTTGTCAGAAAGGCATAAAATTTAAAATTCAAGATACAGTCAACCCTGCTCTAACAGCCCCCTTTATAAGACAATCATCTGTATAAACGGCCACTTCCCATTTCTTACTTTGTAAATTTTTTTGCATTACTGCAACACTGTGTAAAACGTCCACCTGTATTTTACGGACACTTTTCTTCCTCTCGACAATGAGTGGAAGTCCTAGACAGTTTCGACTGTACTTCTAAATAAAAATTGTAAGCATTGAGACAATTAACCCTCATAGACTAGAATCTAGTTCCCAGAGAACTAAGGAATATATATGGACAGGAGTCTGGATTCTGTTATATATCTTATTAGATCACCAATAGAACATCCACTACAAAACGCGTTTAAGAACTTTTTCTTTAATTAGAAAGACTTTGACGGCACTTACAACACAATTTGGTCATATGACAACGCTGAAGATTAGGTGTGTTACTAGAGAGTAACATAAACAGAAAAGCAGGAAGAAGAAGGTGGAAAAAAAGGACAATGTTTGATAGGAGGAAAGAAGGGGCAAACCACACCAGAGCACCCACCAACCACCCATAGGTTTTAGTTTCAGTACAGGTTTTACGGCGCTCGCAACTGCATAAGGTCATATGAGCGTCAGAAGATTAGAGATGTTACAAGAGAGTAAGAACAAACATAAAAAAGAAGAAGGGGAGAAAAGGACGATAGATGTTTGAAGAAACAAACCACACCAGAGCACCCGCCAACCACCAACACTCATAAGGTTTTAAAATTTACAAAATACATGTATAAAAATAAAAGGGAAAAAAATACAGATATTAATAAGTTTGGAGGGCTGAATTTTTTTAAAATCACATCCGTACAATTATGGTCATTTAGGCTCAGAAAAACCCAAGGCAGACAGAGGAACACATAGCTAGAGAGAGAAAGAAAGTATAGAAGACCTACCAGTGGTACCCTCCAGACTCCCACCACTAATTTACAGGCACAAAGGACAAGTCAACAAAGACAACATAACTGGACGTGACAATGAGAGAGACAAAACAACAGCAGCAAACTCAAAGAAGATTATAACAAAAAGATCAAAGTCAAGAGCTGTGAGTTTTTTGTGCAGAGTCGACGCAACAATGATCACAGTTCAGTTCGTCAGAACAGTCTCAGTTTAGGATTAAAAACTATCCATTTCTTTATATATATATAAATATGTGTGTACAAGGACATACGGGTGGGCACTATAGTCTCCCATATCTTGAACGAATATATTCAGAAAAGAACACAATTATCTTACAAAAATAAAATTGAATCTTATGTTTCTCAAAACTACTTAAAGAACAGTTTATTTTACTGGAATTTAAGAACTACATTAAGCAAAAGGCAGCCATTGCTGAACAATTTGAACAAGACAATAATCATCGATCCCAAAAAATGATGGATTCTTTAAAAAGGGAGGAAATAGAGAAGCTTAAAAAAGGAAGAAAGTTTTTGACTAATTCACCAAGAATACGAAAATTTTAGATTTTAGCCTTCTAAATGACACTAACCCATTTTTTTTTTCATCTTCTACCTTAGTCGACATGAGTCCCACGTTGTTTAATTTTTTGTCATTGAAAATTTAAAGAGAAAAAGCAAACCACACTGGTCCACGTTGCAAACATGATCTGGAGAACCATGGTGATGGGCATTATAACAACACATCACATATATATCAGAGTGACATCTAACTGCCAGAAAAACCTTTCATGGTCAAAGAAATGACTTGACAAGCTAAAGAAAGCTGAAACCCACACATCACCATCCTTTACCCACTTTTAATGTAACTGAAGACAATAATTGTGTCCAACTTTACGAATGATAAAACAGATAGCCTTGCCATCACTAAACTTCAAGAGAAAAAAATGCAAGGTCCTAGCACCAAGCAAAAACTAATGAACTCTACATATGATAATATAATTGTGACGCACAAGAAGTTTTACAGAAAAATAGTGAGGCTGAGTGAAGATTTATGATATAGTATTTATGAGGACCACTTCACTTAAACACAGATGAAACAATTGTGGTGCTCTCATGGACTGATTTCTTTGACAAATCACTGTCTCTCTAAGAGAGGAAAAAAACAACTTGACTTTAAACTGTATTAAAAATTCAGTGCAGAGAGACAAAAAAAGAAGTGAGAAAAAGTACGAATCCATATAAGACTGCTCAGATCTGACAAACAAATCTGAATATTTTTAGGTGTATAAATTACAGTTAAAGGCACCCAAAGATAACCTTTTTTTTTTTTTTTTACAATTTATGAGCCACACAAAAGTGACAATGATCTTCCGACCTGAAAGAATGATGATATCACAAATTATTGACCCTGCACCGTGAGGAAAGAGGAAATGATCAATGAAATTACCACGGAAATCTGTAAAAGAAGATGCCGACGAAGGAGACGGATCTGGTTTCCGATGACCATGCCTTAAACCGCTAGGGCTAGCCCTCACAGGGCACTCCACAGGGCAGTTGCAGGAAGAGAGGCAGACCTTAGGAAACCTGGGGGTGGGACAGTGGAAAGATAGAGAGGAGTCAAAGTGAGGAGACAGTTGAGTAACGTTGCAGAGGGAGTGAATGATCCAGCGTGAAGGTTTGAAGTTCAGGTCAGAAAGGGGTGTGAACAATCCAGGGTAAGGTTGGGTTGGGTTAAGAAATAGATTTCTACCTCTAACATGACAGCTTTGCAGGGTCAAGCCAGAAAAAGAATCTCACATGGCGTAAGTCAGTGTTTTGACAAAACCTTCAAAGCATGGCTGAAAATTATGACCACCAGTAAATGGGCGAAAAAGCCATTATGGACTACAAACTGAGGTCTGTTATCAGGTTGAAAAAGCCAACCAGCATCTCAGCAGTTGGAGGATCCATTGCCCTTTTTTACACACGTCTCAAGACTCCAGAGAAAAAATATATAGATAAGTCACAATTTTTTTTTTATAAGGTTTTTCCTTTATTGCGTTCTTTAAAAATCAAACATTCTTTTCCGCATTCTTTCACTCAGTCAAGTCCTGTACTATGTAAGGTCAACAAAATGTTACAATGACAAGAGACGGACTTTTAACTTTGAATTTCAATTTTCTCCATTTTCTTAAAACGTGACTTATCTGGTTTTAAGACATGCAGCAGCTCGCCTGTCCTCTCAAAGATCAACTCTAAAGTGTTATTTTTAGCAAAATGCAAGCCTCTGAAACAGCCTGTAAGTTCAACAAAACATCAGAGGAAAAGGTACGAGTCTATTCGCAAAGGAGTGTATGCTTGTTATTAATGTTAGTACATTTGTGCTTACAGAGTATTATTAGTGAGGCATTGAGTGAGAGAAAAATCACCTCAGTCGCTAAAGTACAGAAAGAGAGTTTGCCATGCTGAACTGGACATGGAGAAACAGCAGTTGTCAGAACAGTAAAGTGTTATACTTGTGCATGAGCATTTGTTTTCACAAGTGGAATAAATTTTGCATATATATACCAACAATATAAACGACGAATTTCTATCTTACTCTCCCAAACCAAATGTGAAGCAGCGTGGTGGAATCAGGCACTCGTCAATTTCTGGGCATGTATGTAGAGTTATTGGTATCATTTTAAAGCTTGTTCACCTGTCTTTCTTTGGATGAAAAAATATCCATTTATCTTGAATACAAGTCGATATATTTTCAATTGAGGGAGGTGGGGGTCACCTGTTTTCAAAGGTAAAATTAGAGAAAATGGTCGCCAAAGATTAGTTATTTCCTTAGCTTAAGAGTTAGTAGTAACTGAAAATTTACATTTTTTGTGCCTTTAATCAACGTTTTTCAGAAAAATCCACACAGAAATGAGTTTGTTTATGAGCATGAAAGGTGTTGAGCCAAAGACCATAAATTTAATAAATATTTACAAACCTGTGGAAAAATGCAGGTTTCTTCACTTTGATTATTTTGATGAGAGCCTGATACCACCACGCCTCATAAATAGATGTGATGATCTGTTTTACACAACCCTGCCAGTACGTCTTCTTATATATATATATATAGGAGTGTGTGTGTGCGAGAGAATACAAATAGGGGTTGTAGTCGTGGGGTGGAGTTGCACACATTGCACCTACTGGGGCACACACATATCTTTGTACTTACTGGAACTTTTACCAAGCTCCATAACATAGAAAACTTCAAACTACTCTAAAGCTGTAAAACAAAGCTTATTATGCTATACTATACTAGAATCACACTAAAGTAGCCTACTTTGAAAGGGACTCAAAATAATTAATCTTTTACAATAAAACCTATTGAATTGATTCCTTCAATATCATGATCTGATGACAGATGTAGACAATATTACAGCATTATTATCATTAAATAAAAAGTAGATTTGCTTCGGCCCATATATCAAAGTCTCAATATCTTGCCTGAACATCAAGGAACTACGAACCCTGAACTCAGATGCCAGGTGCAATTACTATTTTACAGCAAACTTGTTCAGTCATTCAGAGTGTGAAACAAAGATATTAAAATATTTCATCAAAAGTACAAAAGGGAAGTCCAAATTAGGTCCCAGTTCACTTATAAGACTCTGAGGCTTGTCATGTGGGTCGTGGTTCACAATGTTAGTGAAAAAAGTTTGCCTTTGAAAGATAAGCTAACTAAACAGCATGCCTGACATTCAATTCACTGACAATGCGAACACATACGTCATATGAATCCGTATATTAACTCTGTATCATCAACACTTGCGTAAGTAATTTAGGATGACAATAGGTGAAGGCAAAACTTGCGTAAAAGTAATTCATCATGACAATAGGCGAAGGCAGCCTTATGTTATCTCAACTTTTCAAAACTATCAATACTATCACAAGTGACACATGATCCAACAATTTATTAGAAAACTTCTTCCATTGCCATTGCCAACACACCCTTTAATCTGGAGTGCACAAAAAGCACTTACTGACCTTACATCATTCATGGTTTTAAAAAGAGATGACAGTCATGGAGCAACAAAGAGGACATGACACACATACCACGGTACTCAATAGGCATTTTCTCCCTTTAAGTTTTAAAACTGAGATGGTGTACAGTAACACAAAGGCTGAGACTGCATACAGACAGCAATACATCACGCATGCATATCTTATCAAAGCACTCGACTTTTTTAGATTTTTTTTTTTTAAGTGTTATCTCTAAAACTGAAGGTCACTGATAAGCTATATCACAATGTCACCAGCCCAACTCTGCTACAGATGCTGCATCATTCTGCTCGCAGTTACACACAAAAATAGCAAATTAAAATCAAGGCATCCTCTGCTCATCAAGACACAAAAATGTTTTGCGATAATTTGACACATAAAATCACAACCACAAACCATCTCTAGACTAGTAGACATGTCCAGATATAATATTTCAGTTCCAGTACAGTACTTGTCTGACTTTCCTTCCCCTTCCAAGACCAACTCGTCAGGTGATTAACCCATCGTAGAAATCAAACTAGCAACTTACAACTGTTTCCATATATTTTCCCCTCAGTTAAAGGGGGCACTTTTTAAAATTTACTTGAATAGATGAACTGACTACGGTACTAATAATTCAGGAATCTAGGAAAACAATATTCTCTCGATGTTATAATATAGTTTAATAAAATGTTCCTTTTCCAGGACCTCCCAATTTCAAGATCAGAATTTCAAACTGTTCAAAAAGAAAGAGGACCCACAGCCAAACAAATCTAGGAGGAAAAGGAAACAAACTCAACAGTACTGACTGACAATAGTAAAACTAAAAAATAATCAAATGTGAAGCATGCTGACAAATCGAAATGAGTTACTTCTCAAATTTTGTCCCTGTGGAAACATATAAATGTCAAATTTATAGCTGCTTTGAGTCTGTACATTTTTATAAAAGTATGAAATAAAAGAATGCTAAACTTGAACAAAATGTCCAGTTTAAAATCTGTTATTATAAAACTCGACCACTGTGTCAATTACAGCTGCTCCATTCGCAAATTGCAAGAAGTAAAGTAAATTTTGTCAGCACACCTCACTAAATTATAATGATGCTCAGAAGACAATAATTTTATCAAATTTCATAAAGATCTATAGATATCTCTACTAACTACTTCTACCCACAAAAACACGAACAAATTGACAAGATCTTTTGCAGCTAGTCTCATGTTGAATGAGGGCTTTCATAGCCTGAAATTATTCCCAGAGTCATCTCATTAGATTCACTGTACTTGGTATTTGTAGAGAACCAATGTGTTTTATTTTTTATTAAAACTCTTTGAGCCCAACTGGATGGTGGGAGCTTAGTAATGACCCTGTTCCCATTCATACGCTGGGAGTGGGAGGGTCCGATCTAGTAGTGACCACTGTTTAATTTCATACAATGAAAGGTTTTGCTTGTTATTCTATACTGTAACTATTTTCGATCCAAGGCCAAGGTCTATAATAAGTTATGACCAAGGCGTTGTTTCCTTTATTTCAAGGCAAATTCAGATTGTAGTGCTTTTTAGGAGTGATTTTTTGAATTTCCACGTTGTTTACATCTTGTTATTTAAAAAAGTGGGCGTCGGCCATAAACAGCTGGTAGGCATTTAACAGACTAGGCGAGGCATCTTTGGTTGCTAGAAGTAATTCAACATGAAGAATTGAGTAGCTACTGATTCTCAGATGACAGTGAGAAGTCTGCCTTGAGTGGTGAGAGTGACAGCACAATGTTTGTAAGTGTCTCACCCGGGGTGAGAGGTAGATCGTTTTTCTATTCTCACCCCGGATGAGAATAGCCACTTCCACAACCTAACAGTCAGCGAAACATCAAATTATGGTAAAATTCAGGGGGGCATGCCCCCCGGAACCCCCTCCCTCCATAATTTTATTAGCCCCCCTAAAATCCCCCTACTCCTACTCTTGACTTTAACGAACGAAACTACACAATTGCCCAAATCATCTATTACACTGCTCACTGTGTTTTAAAAACATCGCAGTCATTATAAAATTTAATGACAAATTTCTTTATTTCGATGCCATGCAATTCAACAGTTCATTATTTTGTTGGTAAAGGCCCTAGTCTAGATCTAGCTAGATCTAGATCTAGATCTAGATTTTCTAGACTCTAGATTCTAGCAGTAGACATTATTATAACAATATAATAATTATTGAGATTGAAAGGCTCCCTCAACGTGTATGCGGGAACCCAGAAAAACCAAGGGGATGAGAGCTCAAAAGAAGCCACAAAAACCTTTGGCTGGACCCAAGACGACGAGATAGTAGGTCCTGTCGGCCACAGATTAGAAATAAGACAAACTGAAACTGAACTATGAATGCGCGCCTTTTCAGTTCAATCATTCATTCACTGTTGAATGTTAGCACATGAGTATGAGTGAATACACGAACGAAAGCTCCATGATCTCAATTTTCATTAATTGGATTCACAAACCCTGATTATTACTGTGTCTTAACTAACTTACTTCAGGAGACGAGCGACGTTTCATGCATTCAACACTCTTGGAACTATTCCATAATGAAAGCTGAATCACTTTGTGCTTGTTACCATGCCGCCTTAAAAACTTTTCCAGGGTCGTGTGACCGTGGTTCGCGAAAGGAAGATTCTACGAGTTCAGCTATTTATACTGTCTGTGTGCGCTTAGCCAATTCTCCGAACCAGAACGATCCCGAATCCGTTTAGGTTTCTGTCTGGTTCGTTGGCCTACGCACTGGGCTACGCACGCAGTGGAAAAAAAAAATACGGATGTCGGGAACAGGGGATAGTCTTCCTTGCTAGGCCTAGTAGAGGTATAAATTAACCGTTTGCTTCGTCATTGTGAACATGCGTCTTCGAGTTTATTCGTCATTTAAGATAAAAGATAAAGGCAACTTGCATTTGCAATGGGAATAGATATATTATGTGATTCAAGTTACACCCCGGGTTATAAAACGGGAATGAACTGCATTATGAGAATCTCTTTCACGTTATGTGAATCTCTCTCTCTCTCTCTCTCTCTCTCTCTA